CTGTACGGATTTTCTATGATTTTCCGCACCGAAAACCCCTAAAGCACTGCCCGGACGTGACGCAACGTGCGTTCGTAGTCCGATTTCGTTCATCTCTGGCGTGCGGTCCCCGGGCGGGTCCCCACATGTGCTGCCAAAAGTTGGGTGCATTCTGGCAAACCAAACTGGCACTTGTTGTGCAACCTGGTGGTTTCAGTATGGGTGGAGGGGACCCTCGGCCGTACGTCTCTCCGTCGCATCTGCCAAAGTCGCTCTTTTTTTCCACAGGCCACAGTGACCATGCAGGGCACGCATGCCAAAATTTGTCGCGTTCCGACGCTGTACGAATTTTCTATGATTTTCTGCACCGAAAACCCCTAAAGCACTGCCCGAACGTGACGCAACGTGCGTTTGTAGTCCGATTTCGTTCATATCGCGATCCCCGGGCGGGTCCCTGCACGCGCTGCCAAAAGTTGGGTGCATTCCGGCAAACCAAACTGGCACTTGTTTTGCAACCCGGTGGTTTTCGGTGCGAAAAGGTGTGTACCAAACACCTTTCTTTATGTAACTTACAAACATGCCCAAAATTTTTTATCGAATTGTATCTACATGAGAATCATGCGTGCCAATTTTATGTGCATTTTTGGTTTGTTTGCATTTTCTACAGTTTTTGGCTTCGACAGTCCTAAAACACTGTTTTTAATTTAAAATTATTTCATACAAATTTTTTTAAAAAAATTACAAATTCCTTCTTCTAATTTCTTTTTTTCTTTTTCCTTTTTTCCTCTCTTCATCTTTTTTTATATAATTTTTACTATTCTTTCAGTTATACCGGTAAACTATTTAATTTTAATTTCTTTCGGGTCACTTTTCTTTTATAAAATGATTCACTTTTTGTCTATAATATTTCATACTAATTTTCATTCCAACATAACGATAAACGATAGTTCATTCAACATAACGACGGTTCATTTTACATTAGAACATAAAAAACTTAATTAAACATGACTTAATTAAACTTAATTAAACATAACGACTTAATCCTAATCTACTCGTCGTCGTCGGAGTCGGCGAGGTCCACGATCTCCCCCGCACCGATGTCACCATCGTCGTCATCGTCGCCGTCGTCGCTACTCTTGCCACCGTCCTCCCAGTAGCCGTCGTCGCCTGCGGCTGCACCGCTTTGATGGCCGCCGCGGCATCCAGTGCGGCCTGCAGCTCAGCGGCCTCTGCTGCCGCCGCCATAGCCGCCGCCGCGTCGAGTGCGGCCTGCAGCTCGGCGGCCTCTCTCGCCTCCGCGGCCGCCGCTTCTGCCTGCGACGCCCGTAGTGCGATGAGATAGCCGGGGCAGTCGTCGGGGTCGCCGTCCTCGCGCAATGCGAACTGCTCCGGCAGGATCTCGATGACGGGAGGGGAGGCGGGCCGGGCGATGGCGGGAACCGGACGGCGGGACGAGCTCAGAGACGGCGCGGCCACCGGAGGGGGACGGCGGGGCCGGCGTGGGGTGGAAGACGAGCCGCGCGCGGCAGACGACGAGCCGCCCGGGCCCGACGACGAGCCGCCGGTCCGCAACTCCCGACGAGCCTGCGCGACGACGACCCAGTAGTTCTTGCCCTTCCAAAATCTCGTGCGGCCGACGATGTTCCATCGGCCGCCCTCGTGCTGCCGGAGCTCGTCCGGCGTCGCGTCGGGCCCCCTCGTCGGGTACCCGTCAGCGGTGATGTGGAATGCGTGAGGCAGACGGCAGCCCGACGGCACCATCATCCCGAGACGGATGAGCTTGTCTGTCTCCGGCGTGCCCAGGCTCGTCGGCCACAAGCTACCGTCGTCGTCGGACGCCATGGAGGCCGCTGGGAATGGGAGCTCGTCAGCGGTAGAGCGGCGTCGGTGGGTGGGGTGAGCAGGTCGAGGCTCGTCGAGTGGAGTGGGGGGAGGCAGACGGGGCGACGAGTGGTGTTTTAAAGGCATGCGTCGGTGAGTGGGGGAGGCCGTCCGGTAGGTGACCGACGCCCGGCTTAACGCCGGCATTAATGGCGCATCGGGCCGGCGGCCGCGTCGGGAACCGCCCTTGACCGACGCTTAGACGGCACGCAACCGCCTGTCCCCACACGTCGTGTCGTGTTTTTTTTTCGTCCAGCTGACGCCACGTCGCCACGAGTACGCGCTCGACAGGTCACGTCGTTTTTTTTTCTTTGGTCGTCGTCGTACGTACGCAGACGGACGCATTTATGGGTAGTCGGCGTAGAGCCCCGTCGCGCGGGTACAGCCCCATCGCGCGGGCGGCGGCTTTTTATGTGCTGGGACGATCCTACCCTTTTTACTGAAGGGGTACGGAGCAATCTCAACCGTTGTTGTGTTTAGGGGGTTTTACCGAAGAAGAAGTGTTCAAATATTTGTTCAGTTTTCAAAGTTGTCTGCACTTTAAAATTTTGTTCGCATTTAAAAAAAATCAGTTTTCTGCAAAAATTTCTTGCACTTACAATTTTTTTGGTGATTTAAAAAGGGATCATGTTTCGAAATTTGTTTCTGTTTTTTAAGAAGATTGTAATCTCAAAAAATTGTTGACAATTTTCAAGAAAGTGTTTCGTAAAATTTCCGAGATGTTTCCAATTCTCGACGCTGCTATATTTAAATAAAGTCGCTCTTCTCTACCATCATAAATAGCTTTCAGCGGGAGTGGCAAGCAGCACGAGTTTTGCACCGCCAGGTCGCAACTTCGTCTTAATGTACCTTCTTTTTTTAAGACTTATAATAAGTTTTTTTTTTTGAGGTGACAGACTTTTTATAAGTCGCGCGTAAAGGAGAAAAGGCCCGGTCGCCTTGTGTTGCAACCAAATCCCTGCCAGGTTCATGCTTCGCGCATTGTAGGCCGGCCCAGTCACGTGTGGTCGCAGCCGAATCCCGGGTTTGAGCTGCCACGTCAATCCCTGTATGCGCTCATGGTTTAAAATAGATCGGAATCGAAGAGTTCGGTATACTAATTTCAGGGATTAAAAATTTAGAGTTTGATTTAGTTTTTGTCTACAAATTTAAGATTTATTTTAGACTTTTTCCTCTTCAGTAGGTAGGAAATGCTGGCGCACAAGCTAATCACCGAAACAAATAGCAGGCGTCGTGTTAAAATAAAAAACAGAAACACTGTCCACGGCAGCCTGACGTTTCAGGCACGTCAGCTGGGGATCTGTTTTTTTTTTGATCGTAAAGCTGGGGATCTGTTTCCTGCTGCAACAGTTGAAGACCATGCCATAGATAATATTCCCTCGACAACTGTTCCTAAATATTCCTTCGACAACGGTTCACACAGAACCTTGATAGTGATGTACTTTCTCCGTTCCTAAATATTTGTCTTTTTAGAGATTTCAACAAGTGACTGCATACGGAACAAAATGAGTGAATCTACACTCTAAAATATGTCTATATACATCCGTATGTGGTAGTCCATTTCAAATCTCAAAAAAGACAAATATTTAAGAACGAAGGGAGTAATTAAGATGTGGTTCAGCAACCATATAGTGTATGTGGTAGTAACTGGTAAGCAACCTCAAAATAGACAGTGTCAAGAGAAAAAGGTGTGGTTCAGCATGCAGGATAATATATCATCTACTGTTTCCGTCCGGAAATACTTGCAACCAAAATGAATAAAAGAGGATGTATATGAATGTATTTTAGTTCTAGATATATTCTTTTTTGTCTATTTTGATGACAAATATTTTCAAACGGAGGGAGTACAAGATAGTGCTTACACGTGTGGGACTTTTCGTTTATGTCTCAGCTAATCCAATGTTAGATCCTTCTAATCATTGAGTGAATCTCAACGCGAAGGCATCGTATGTCTCAGAATATTGACCTAAAACATAAGAAAAATTCAAATCATTCTGATTCGGACTCGCCGGTAGCCAGAGTCCTGAGATCCGCAAACAGCGACAAGGAAGTCGATGGAAACAACAGAGTCATGTGCTCCTACCACGGGACCCCACATGGCACATATGCATGCATCCCTCTTTCCTTGTTGATGCGCACCGTCAAGGAACTCTAAGCCATCGGACTCGAAGCAGAGGGTGGACACATTGCGTTCTGACAAACATTATTTCCAAAAAGGGAATTTTATTGATTTAATAACCATATCAAGGTGATACAACCACACTAAGTGTAAACACAACCTCTGCAAAGTGAGAATCACGTACCCCAACACATCCACAAAAACAAGCATTCCAGTGAAATGTTACAAATGTACATGACTCATATCAATAAGCCTTAATGAACGCGATAACATTAGCAACATAAAATGGGAGTATCTGAGTGGTGCAATGGCCACCCTGAAAGAGGGGAGCCCTTCCTCCTTGGCTTTCTTAAATAGAGCACGCAAAAGATCCATCACGATGATCAAGGGCGGAGGCAAGACTGTGCCAGGGCCGCGTCGACCTCACTGTACTGTAGCTACAAGCGTTGAACGGTGTTGACGAAAGCTTGCGTGCAATCGTCGCGCCCCGGGTCGTAGCCCGGTGTGCCTGGGGCTTGTCTCCGCCCCTGATGGAATCGCCCTACCAGAGCCCATGAGCATCTAGCAATGGTCCGAAATGGAATTAGGCCTCAGCCTTTGATCTAAATAAAACCTCCTTTTGACAAAGCCATCTAACAATATTGAGTAGTAAAATTCGAGTGTCTATTTCTGTGCACACATGAGTACCCTTGCCACGAATTTAGGGTGTGTGGACGTCAATTTCTTCAAATAAGAACACACAAAAATAGTGGATGTTGGTTTAGTGCGCATGCGCTTGAATGAGTATTCTTCAAATCGTTTTTTTAAAAGGTAAGTAATCTTTGAATCAACAATGATTCAGAAAGGCAAATAAAAGAAAATAGAAAGTGGCATGGATAATTATATGGTTATATACGTTTTGATGGATCTTTTTGCAAAGTTGACCTGCACGCCGTCACACTATATATAACTCCAACTCAGCAACATCCTAGTCCTCAAGGAACAACCTTGTCATCCACTGCTCAACGGTGTGAGTGTGTGCATGATGAAGGACATGATAGCGTTGCAGCTTTTACCCTGCGTTCTCTTCCTAACGGTCTTGCTAGCCATGTCGGCGACCAGCCACGCGGCGGCCTTGCGCCTCGACCTCACGCATGTCGACAGCGGTCGCGGCTTCACCAAGGGCGAGCTTCTCCGCCGGATGGCCGCTCGGTCACGCGCCCGCATAGACAGCCGGTGGTCACCACCCGGGCGTGGCGCCAACGCCCACGCGGTGACCGCGCCGGTGGCACGTGGCACCGTCGGAAAAGAAGACTTTAACTCCGAGTACCTCATCCACTTTAGCATCGGCACGCCGCGCCCGCAGCGCGTGGCGCTGACGCTCGACACCGGCAGCGACCTCGTCTGGACGCAGTGCTTCTGCCAGGTCTGCTTCCCGCAGCCGTTCCCGGAGCTGGACACCTCCGCCTCCGGCACAGCCCGCGGCGTCTCCTGCTTCGACTCCCTCTGCGCGCAGGGGAGCTTCTCGCTCTCCGGGTGCGCAGTCGGCGACAACTCCTGCATGTACACCGACTCCTACGGTGACAACTCCGTCACGACGGGGAAGCTGTACGAAGACACCTTCACCTTCCAACAGGCGCCCAACGGCAAGGCCGCCGTCGTGCCCAATAGGGCTGGACACGAGCCGAGCCGAGCCGAGTTCAGTCCGAGCCGGCCTTTGGCTCGCCTAAAGCGAGCCGAGCTCGGCTCGGCTCGTTGGCTGAACGAGCCTGTGTTTGGAGGCTCGGCTCGTTTTGCCTCTGGCTCGGTCCAGCTCGAGCAGCTCGCATGTGCACTGCTAATGTGTGTGCAAGCCTGTGCTTGCGGGCGTCGGGGCGGCGGACGCTTGGCCAGGCACCATAGGAGGGACGAACGGCGCCATCGGTGCCGAGAGCGAGCCATCCAGTGTCGGGCGCGGCGAGGACGACGGCGGCATCCGGCACGGCAAGGAGGACGACATCTACACTCTATACAATCAAGCAGAAGCATTCATCCATCCATCCATCCATCAAGCCTAAATCCATCCATGCATCCATCGCGTGCCTGCGCAGCCATGCAGGGAGCATGTGTGTCATCTGCCGTCCGTGCACCAGTGCAAAGGAGCGCGCGTGACTGAGTGCCGAGCGTGTGCGCGCCAAGTTACTGATGGGAAGGAAGGAGAGAGTACCTGCTCGTCACGTACAGCGAGAAACCAAGGGAGGAGCGTCCGCCTGCGTTCGGGGTGGTGAGGAATGGCCGCGTCGCTCGCCGCCATCGGTCCAGTTTTGCGGCGCGGCGAGGAGAGAGATGCGGCGGCGCGGCGAGGAGAGGGATGCGGCGGCGCTGAACAGAGAAAGAAGAGACTGCGCTCTCTCTGCGTCGCTCGTGCCCTAATGGAATGAAGGCCGATGAGAATTGGGCTGGGCCTCGAGCGAGTCACCGAGTTGGACCGGGCGAAACTCGGCTCGGCTCGGTCGGGAATCGGGCCTCATTTCACAAGTCTGCTCGCTCGTTTATCCTATCGGGCCGAGCTGTAACGGGCCGAGCTGGAGCGAGCTTCGGGCCGAGCCGAAAAGCTCGCTCGTACGTCCAGTCCTAGTGCCCAACCTCCGCTTTGGTTGTGGCATGTTCAACACCGGCATCTTCGGATCAAACGAGTCCGGCATCGCCGGCTTCGGGCGCGGGGCGTTGTCTCTGCCGTCGCAGCTCAAGGTCGGCAAGTTCTCCCACTGCTTCACCACCATCGTGGAGTCCAGGCCCAGCCCCGCATTCCTGGGCACGCCGGACAACCTTCAAGCACAGGCCACGGGGCGTCTCCAATCCACCCCGTTGGTGCGAAACCCCGAATCCAATCACTACTACCTTTCGCTCAAGGGCATCACCGTGGGCAAGACGCGGCTGCCGTTCGACGCATCGGCGTTCGCGCTCAAGGGCGACGGCTCCGGCGGCACGATCATCGACTCCGGCTCGGCCCTGACGAGCGTCCCGGAGGCCGTGTACCGGAGCCTCGTGGAGGCATTCGAGTCGCAGGTACCGCTGCCTGTCAACAAAAACAACACCGACGAGCACGAGGGCTTGTTGTGCTTCACCGCCTCGCCGAAGAAGAAGGAGATCGCCATGCCGAAGCTGATCCTTCACCTAGAGGGCGCAGACTGGGACCTTCCACGGGAGAACTACGTGTTGTACACTGAGGAGGACGGGCTTTGCGTGGTGATAGGTTCCGCGGGCGAGGACAACAGGTCGCTCATAGGCAACTTCCAGCAGCAGAACACGCACATCGTCTACGACCTGGAGCACAATATGCTGGTGTTCGTGCCTGCGCGCTGCGACAAGCTGTGATACGGATACGTCAACGTGTGTATTGTGTATCGTTCTACAGACGTACGTATGTACTGGTCACATACGTTTATCGGTACTGAGAACGCGTGAAAAGGAACACCCGTTCTCTACGTGCCAGTGCTAAATAAACAAGGTGACAAACTAAGCTAAGGATTTGTTTATACCTAGTCTGATATGAAAAAACTGTAGACATATCACAAGCGATATGATGGATTTCAGCTGGTACATGTTTCTACTTGTACTGAATGTTGAGTGCGCCAACACCGCGTACGATGTGCGATTTTCTCTCGATAATGTGAGGGAATGTCTGCATCCGAAGATATACACAACCTAATCATTCGTGGTTCAAAACATAAAGGAGCACACAATAATAAGCTTACAAACACACTGAAAACGCGGTACCATGCAACCGGCAATGCTACGCCTACGTAAATCGTAAACTAACGTAATAGCTTAGGCGGCCTTTTTCAGTTGGAGGAAATCAGGAAAGAGGGCAAGTTACGTAAGTTAGGCAAGTTACGTAAGAGTACATAGTTAGGCAAGTTACGTAAGAGTACCCCAATTGAAATCGGGGGTGGAGACATTAGTTAGGCAAGTTACGTAAGATTACATAGATTTTCTACAACTCAAACCAGAAGATAAAACCTCCGTCCGGTTATACGGAATATGTTGCCATATGGGACAAGGAGATGTGAAAAGAGCATGAAATGCGGAATAAAAAAAAATCCGACGTCCATGTCGCACTCCCAGCCCCACTGAATTTGAGACACTCCTATGCGGCGAGCAAAAGGTGATTAGGACGGTGGCAGCATCAAGTTCACAGGATATGTACCACCAGCTGGCCATATGGAACAGTTTTAAGAACAATCATCTCGTTTCCCACCGGGTAGTGCCTCTTTTCCGTTCAAAAGACTGCAAACAGACCATGAAATCGACACGAGACACACCGACAAAGTAGCACGACAACATCAGCAGCATCTTGAAATGGACGAGCACCGGCGTCAGGGGCGAACCCACGTTGTCGGGGTTGGATACGACATATGCCAAAGGATGGCTTATCATGGTGGGAGCGAGTAGAACGTCGCCGGTGCCTGGAAGCGGGATGAGGCGAAAACATGCACGCCGGCGGATCTTACCCAGCTTCAGGGCTCTCCTAGGAGATAACACCCTTACTGCTGCTCTGCGGGGTCTCCGCATGATCACTCAAACAAGGTGACTACAATGGTGCTCCTAGAGCTGTTTTGGGAGGCAGGAGAGAGCAAGGCTAGTTCTCTCCTCCCGTGCTATCTGGTCTATCTCTACTCAGGTCCAAACCCTTTGCATGGGTGCCCTGGGAGGTTTATATAGGCCTACCCCTCGGGGGTACAATAGTAATACGGCTGGGCGCGGGTCCCAGCCATCTGTCTCTCTGGCCACCGCCCTTCTTGCCGGCTTCTGGGGCCCGCCGACTGGCGGGTCCCGCGGACAGGCTTGATACTGTAGCGACACTCCTGGTGACGCATGCTTGGTCATCGGGTCGTGGCAACAGTGCCGCCGTCTATCGGGCGATCACCGTCGCCACTCCCCATCTTGTCTGGTTAATGGCCCGTGGGGCCCTGGGGAGGAGTCGGCCGACTCCCACAGGTCCGTCTTCGGGCGCCCAGGCCGCCTTCGGCCCTCCCACTGACAGGCGGCCCCGCCGCCTCTGGGTCGTACAGGCCGACGTCGTGGGCACAGCGTACTGCGCACTGTGGCTGAGGTCAGGGCAGGCATGGCAACAGTGCCGCGCCTCGCCGGAGGTCTTCCAGCGATACGGTTCACTGTAGCCATGCCGGCCCTTCGTGAGCAGGGGGGGACGGCCACGTCGCGACCGTACCGTACCCCGTATCGTACTTCGGGATGAAGGAGGAGTCACGGGACGACTCTCCAAAGTCGGCCTCTTTGGAGGTCGCCAGCTCGGAGTCGGCCTTTCTTGAGGTCGCCATCCCAGAGTCGGCTTATCTCGGAGTCGCCGTCTGGGACTCGGCTTGAGGGGTGCTGCCTGCCCCGATGTCTTTGAAAGGTCTTGGGGCCCGGGTTAGCCTATCCGTGGCCCATTGCTCCGACAGTAGTCCCCGAAGCTGGTGAAGCCCGGCGGTCGTTGCATTGTGGGGCTTCAGCAGCTTCAATCTTTATAAATGCAGACTCTGGGACTCGGCTGCCGTCTTCTCTTGGGCCGACTGTCGAAAGTCGGGGGTTTCGGCGAAGAGCCTCAGTTCGAAAGTCGCGGCGGGAAACCAGGCGGCGTGCCTGGTACGCCTCCCCGCTGTCGTTAAGGTGGTCCTATCACGTGGCGCCACGTGGGGAGAACAGTCTGCCCACCCACGAACGCGACGGGACGGGCTGTCAGGCGGGGCCCGCTACTACCGCGCCTCGGCATACGGACGGATCCCTTGCGGCCGCGGACGGTTGGTTTTCCCACGTCGTTACTGCGCGCAGTAACTTCGTGGGGTAAACCGTGGGGCGGTGCGGGACGTTATGCGCAGTTAGTCTCACGCCCGCCCCCTCGGCTTCTCAGCCCGTTGGGCTATAAGTAGGCGGGGGAAAGCGGAGGGGCACAGCTCGCGCGCCCTTCTTCCCCGCTCCCCCGCCCCATCTTGCTCTCTTTCTCCTTCCTTCCTCCGCCGTTGAGCCAGAGCACACCATACCGCGGTGATGAGCTCTTCCTTCGTCGCGGCCCCTGCCATGCGCTCCGGCGTGTGGGACGGCTCGGAGGTAGAGGAGGAACACATCGAGTTCCTCCGCCAGACACGTCGTCTTCCCAGCGCGGACCTCGTGCGCGCCCGCGCCGCGCCGAAGGGGGAAATCCGGCCGGCGCCGGAAGAGGGCGAGCGGGTCGTCTTCCGCTTGCACCTTATGCGCGGCCTAGGGCTGCCGGCGAGCGGCTTCTTCCGCTCGTTCCTGGAGTTCCACAGTCTTCAGCCGCACCACCTCACACCGAACACGGTGGTGCTGCTCTCCGCCTTCGCCACCCTGTGCGAAGGTTTCCTCGGCCTTCTCCTCACCATCGAGCTGTGGGGGGAATTCTTCTCTTCTAAGCTCGGCACGCACATCACCGGCGTGCCGGCTCAGTGCGGCGCCTTCATGACGATGCGACGCTCCACGGCCGACAATCCCTTTCCTCCCATCATGCTGATCAAGTCGGTGAAGATGTGGTAGCGCACGTACTTCTACGTGAAGAACCTCTCCCCCGACGGCGACTGGGTCAACCTGCCGCCCTACAATGCCACTCCCCTGACCGAGAGGCTCCTCAGCTGGTCCCACAGGGTCAAGTCGCTGTCCCTTGCTGGAGCCGCCACCGTAGCGCGACTCCGAGTCTTGATACAGTCGGAGGGGCTCGTCGGGGCCGACTTGCTGGCCGCCTTCGTGGCGCGCCGAGTTCTCCCGCTCCAAGGCCGGCCACACCTGATCTGTCAGATGAGCGGCCCCCGAGACCCAAGCCGGATGAGCACCAAGGAGATGCCCCGCAAGGAGGTGGCGAACATGGTGAACTACATCGCGCACTGCGAGTACGAGGAGGACTAGCAGTTCGGCAAGGAGCCGTACTCACGCGACAACCCTCCGCCAGTGGTAAGTCGCGTCCTCCTATTGCTTCGTGTTTTCTCCTCAGCCGACTCCGGCTTCTAACTCTTGTCGGCCTCTTCTGAACCAGAATCCTCTTATGCAGCCCGCCGCCGGTGCTACGA